CTTTACTATTTAGTACGAATGAATCCCATTTTTGACAAGCTTTCATTTGATATAAAATTCATTATATACTCCTCCCTGAAATAATATTATTTCCTATCCTGTATCTTGGGACACCAAGTCAGTTGATCACTCCCATATATACAGGTATCTTTTTTTTTCGTTCTGTATAGCTATTCGCTTTCTACTACATACAGCTCACCGGAAGATTATCGGTGAACTGCGTTTTGCCGCTGAAAGTGCTCCAGTATTCATAACATGAGAAACAAGGCATACAGTAGAACAACGGGACATTAAAAATAAAGGAAAATATTAAAATATGAATTTATACGCCAAAGATAAAACGACTACAATTTTACTTTATTTAAATTAATTCGAAATGATTTAAGGGTGTGAATATAACTTTTTACGAACACTCACACCTCACACAGATCCTGAAGACCCACAAGATGTAGGAGACAAGCAGAGAAGGCTATAAACTAACCAAGGAATAAGGGTTAAAGAGATGATAGTATAAGACTGCTGGGACATAAGCAATAAAGTTAAGCGAGTGATAAAGAGATCAAGATACAGGCGAATAAGTAGATGAGAGTCCATGGCATCTAAGGGATAAAGAAATAACAGAATAAGACTATAAGAAGTAATACCACAGGAGTGTAAGGCATTAAGATCTGTCTAGATGTGTAACACGAACTGTTTAATTGTCTATTATTGAATCAAAGCTAAAAGACAAATGTGAAAATTTATAGAAGAAAAGCACTCCTGCTGTATGCATCGACTCTCACCAGGAATAAATAAAAACAGACGCACTAGAACGAATAGTCGATAGAAAATTTGTAGAGTTATTAATGTTGAATTAAAGAATATTATTCATTGAATGAAATTTAAAATAATTATTAATAATTGAATATTTTATTTTTCATATAAATAAAGAGTTTTATTTTGAAAAAAAAAGAAAAATTTTTTGTTGAATATAAGTTAAATAATTTGTTCTTGTGAAACAAATCGATGAAGTTGAAATTGAATTGAACATTGAAGTGGTTGAATTAAATTATTTTTATCTAAATCACCTTCATTTTCATTAATTTGTTTTTTATCTAAATTAAATTAAATTAAATTAATATATTCCCTAGACTGAAAGGCTAGGGTCTAGAAACCGTAATTCACCTGTGTCTCTCTGTCTGTCTGTAACAAGGGCTTGGCACGAATGAGCATTCGTATTCTATAGACTGAAAGGATAGGGTCTAGAAACCGTAATTCATCTGTGTCTGTCTATCCGTCTGTCTGCAACAAATATGGCACAAATGACCATGTCTATGGCACAAGTGACCATTTTGGTGGCACAAACGACGATTTTTGCGGTACAAAATGATGATTTCGGTGGCAGAAATGACCATTTCTATGGTACAAAGTGCCATAGTCTTGGTACAAGTTACCATTGTCGTGGTACAAATGATCATTTTCATGGTATAATGTACCACTTTGGAGGTATAGATGACCATTTATTTGACACAATTGGCCATTTTCATTGTACAGATGACCGGTTCTGTGGCTTAATTTACCATTTCCACGGCACAATCAACCATTTTTATGGCACAGTTAACCATTTTTATGGCTCAAATGAGCATGTATGTGTCACAATTGGCCATGCCCGTATTAGAAATGGTCATTACTTTGGCATAAATCACCATTTTTAGTCGTTATAATTGACAAAAGCATAAACATTATCATATAAATTAGCATTTTTCAATATTTTATATGAACTATTTCAAAATATCTATAGTATGTAATATGGAACATATTACAAATATTAATAATTTCTCCTAAACTCATCATTATACAGAATTCATTTTTATTTAAAAATACAAGGACATCTTTGTCATCATTCCGTCAGTCTAGGGCCAAGCGAATCGACATTCAATGTCGATGAACGTTACTTGTTAATTATTAATTAAAACAAAAAACAAAGAAAATATAACCTTTGGTTTTATCTTGATTTGATTTTGAAGCTGATAAACTTTTTTTATCTTTATTTGAATCATTTTTTTCATTATCTTTTCGTTTATTTGATTTTGTTTGATTAATTGAATCAGTTAGTTGTTGTTGTTGTTGTTGTGATTGTTCAATAGGAGATTTATATTGAGAATAAACTTGATAATCTCCATCAAGAAATGATCGAAGTTCAACATTAAATTCAGCTAATATTGTTTCAACTGGATCTTTTATAGTAACTAATTTACTTAAATCTTCAATTTTCTTTTTTTTTACTGGACTTTCATTTTTCTATAAATAATTTAATTATTTTATATTTTTTTTTTCAATTTTTTTAAATACTTTATCTTTACTTGAATTTGATTTTTTTTTCTCATCATTTGTTTGATTTAATTGATCAGGTGACCAATATTCAGTCTAAAATATATTCTCAATTAATTATACTCTATAAAGTTAGACACATCTTACGAGAGAATTTCTAAGAATTTTTCACCTTCGAGACAAAAAAAGAAAATATAGTTTATTAAATCGGATGACATGTAATTATATCACAAAGGGTTCAAATTTGATAGATAAACAAAAATCGAATTTTTTGCAAATTTTTGATCATTTTCATCGAGATGTTGTCAAATGGCAACATATCCATATTCTATTCTGCTCACATAGTGAACAGTTTTCTTCTAGTGATGCAATGTAAAACATGTCTATCAAAAAATCATTCAATAGTAGCTTCCTTTCATATTGAACATTTTGATTTACAGAAAAATAATTTGTTACGATTTGGATGTATATCTTTTTAGAGCATTTCGAATAGATCAAGTTACTTTTTGTTATGAAAATGATTTTTAATATGTATTTAAATGTTTTAGAGTAATTATAAAATTGTTAAAATCTAACATAGAACTAAGATAAATCAATCCTTCTCAAAATTATACATTCGATGTTGCCAACTAATAAC